ATATAAATTTGAATTTGTATTTGATTTGATTTTCAAATCAAATATTCAAATGTCAAATCGAATTGCGGAACCCTATCAGAAATAGTATCAAGGTAAAAAAGAACTCTTTGCTAGTATTAAAAACTTATACAGAATTTTACTATACTTTATCCAAAGAAGAGTGTCTTATGACTGAAAATGAAATTAGCAAAACAATAGAAGAACTAATTGCGTATGATGATAAATAAAATTAGAAACAAGCGGAAATTTATTGATTGAGTATCCATTTGGAGGCAAATCACAATATTTAATCACTATTAATTTCTTCAGTACGAAAGACTTTTTAGGCCATTACTCTCATTATCTATTAGCCAATACAAGACCAGCTGATTTTTTTGTATAAGAATTCTTTGAATATTAAAAATTTCAGGACTCCAATTCATATCAGTATTTCTTCTTCTAGCAGAACTATGTTCTAGTTCATCAGGCTTAAGAAAATATCTTACTGAGTCATAATAGGATAATTGAGGTTTGTCATATCCAATAGGCCTTCTATGTTTTACAGTTAATTTGGCAACTATTTTCTCTTCTTTTAATGCTTTTTATACCACTTCATTAGGAGGTATGCCTAACTATTAATCTAATTTATCTAAAATTTGGTATATAGATAGAAAATAATAAGGGCTTTCAAACAAGCCTAAAATTGCATAAATCCAATTACAAGATGTTGAGATATTATCTTCTAAAGGATTAACATTTAATGTAAGGTTGAAGTAAGGTAGAAGTAGGGTCGAAATATGGTTGAAGTAGGGTTAATTATCAGTTTAGGAGGTGTAATATTATCGCAGTCAAATCTGGAAGATCTGATTAGCTAAAACATAATAGAGTACTGAAGACGAAGTAGGAGAAGTACTTCCCCCGCATCTCTTATTGAGGAAGTTGAACGGTTACTAGGCCAAAGACCATCTAGCCGATGCAATCAAAGAAGCCAAACACGTTCAGAATCTCCAGCTCGTAATCCATCTCAGGCTCCATCTTTACCTCGTAACGAAGATGGTGATACAGGAAATCTGACTGGAGGGAGAAATAACACAATGACTTCACTTATCCAACCACCATCTTATGAAGCTTCTACTGGAAATCAACAATCATCGAATAGTGCGAAGGTGATATAAATAGTATTGGGTGATAGTATAAGGAAATGTCTCTAGATTATGCACAGCATCTCACTTTCAGTTAAATATATTTGAAAATTAATAAAGTCTTTGCTCACATAGAACATATATATTTTTTTAGTTTGTATAAATGCTGTGTGAACTGCCATCGAATAAATAAAACTGGTTTAATACAATTCATTTGCATCAATTTCAAACTTTAGTTATGTGATTTTTTTTAATGCGTATAAATTTTATTTTGATTTTTATTATTGTCCGAAGCGAAGCGGAGGACTATATATGTTTGTGAATGTTAAGTGTAACCATATCACATGGCTAAGTCTGTTTGTCCGCATACATCACGTTACTGAAATTTTGTGCTATACTGATAAATAAATCTGTGATAAACATAATGTAATATGAAAGTTGTTACAGTACATGATAAGTGTGGAAAAAAATTTTTTCTAAAAATAACGGTTTTTTAGCAATAATTAGTTAGATTCCACTATTTCGTAGAAATAAAACGTATGTACAAGTATATTTGCAGTTTTTCACGCTAATATATTTATTATGTTACATTCACTATTCAATCTATTGTATTACATTCAATCAAGTTCGAAACCTAATCTACAAAAAATACTTCGCTTCGGATTCACAATAGTTTCCGTTTCCTAGTATATTACATGTTAACCTTATGAAAACATTAATTTGCTTCACAGTAATTTTTTTTGCTTCCTCTTAGTATTGATTATCTTACTTTCAAATAATATCTTGCAAGTCTAAAACGAATCCGTTAAGAATTCGAAAAGTAAAAGTATGAGGATTTCTTCGCACGTTACTAATAACCTTTTCTCCTTGAACTCAATATACTACTACAGTTTGATTGAGGGAATCAATCAAAATACCTTCCTAGATAAAATAACCATAGCAATAATAAAATAAACATAATCAACAAATAAATAATTATTAGTCACTTACTTCAACATCTGCATTCATATAATCTAACATTTTTCAGTAACAATAATCCTCAGAATCGTTATCTGAACGTATTTCCGCAACAAAGTTTGGGACAACTGAGGGAAACGCTTCATTTTGATCATTATCCGATAATGTATTCTATCTGCAATAAAAAAGTTAAATAATGTAAAAATATGTAAACCACTTATATAATTTATACATATAATGAGAAACCTTGTGATGAGAACAACAGAAGCATCTGGACCCCGAACAGTAGGATTTTGTAGAGGCAAGTTATAACATGTCTACGGTGATATTAGAGTGGATATGAAGAAAAAATTCTCGTAATTATTCGCAAAACATACCTGGCTACTTCTGTATAGTCCAACAAGTTTACGGCTATTGAGACACCAACTGGTAACTTCATATATAAGTTTGGCTTCTTTTGTCTTAATTTATTATAACATAATTCAGCATGAAAAAGAAACGTTTGTTGACATTTCAACAAAAAATAGCATACCAGTTCGAGCGTTGTTAGCTTAAACGGTTCGTCATTAAGTTAACTAAGATTATTTGCTAACAGGGAGTTTAAGTTCATCTAAACTATGGAAGAAATAAACATGAATTAATTATGTTGAAGGGTCAGGTCGTCTTTATCGATATAGATTTAAAGA